AGATAAAGCGTAAAGTAGAGGTTTTGATGATATGCAAACCCCGGAGCCTTTCAAACCGTGTTTATTCATATCCCCTGACATCAAAGGCCTTTTTGTGTTTGCCATAATTTCACTTGGCATTTTCAGCAACTAGACGGAGCGGAGGGCTATGATGGAGAGAGGGGGGGGGGGCTTGGATAATTAGGTTTACAACTAGATGAGTTTTTCCTTTTATGTTGTAATACAAAGAGACAGTAATTGTGCTTGAGCACCAAGATTTCCCCAAACTATCGTCTTGCTTAGGATTCACAATTTCTGCTTCCCTTTAAAGTAAGTCTGCTGTGTACATCCCGCTCCTCTTCTCCAAGAGTACAGTAGATAAAAATTCTTTCAGACATCAAATCCCATTTCCAGTGTGCCAGGTTGATGCTGTGAAAGCCATTCATGTCAACTGTAAGCTGCTTCTTTGAATCATGTAATCATCCAAACATGCTTCTGCTGCCTCAGTAATGACAGGCACTCTGTCAGGGATGTCTCTAAGTAGCGTACCTCCTGACAGTCACATTTGCTTGCCTCAGAGATGTCAATTACCCTGTGTCGTGGTGGGGGTAATATTTTGACAGCTGTGTGCATATATGTGTGATAGAAAGATTTGCGCTCTCGAGGCACACGCTGTGATTTGAGGCATCTTCGTTTGTTCTTTCAAAGTTGGAAGTTTTACTCGTTTATCCTTCGCTAGCAGTAGTTCGAGAAACATTTCACGGTGCAGAAATGTTGTTAAAAGTTGAAAAAATGATGAGCAGCCTCTTTTTTCTTGTTTTGTCGATTTAAACAAAAACTGTGCTTCGTTGCAAGTCTAAATCGCTGGTGAAGATATGGAACCACAAGCAGAGAGATCATTTTTAATGAATTTGCTTAAAACCTAATGATAACAATTACTTTTATTACCCTAAGCTGCTCTTGCTTTAAGCTAGAATGAGCTCTGTTTTATTAAAAAAGTACTTTTAAATCTATCAAGTATTTATTTTATCATTAGAAAATAAAGTAAACCTCAATAGGCAAAGGTACCTACATAATGATATTAAAGCAACAGATAAAGCAGTTACAGATGACCAAAGGGAACTGAATATATATAAACCTGTTTGACCTTCTGTCACGTTTCCACCGACTACTTAAATGCTCTATGGAGGGCTAGGGGTGACAAAATGAAATAAATAAATATAGCTATAAATATGTATGTGTAAATGTACAATTATATAAATAAATGTATCATGAAATGTAAAATGAAAAAAATTTACCACTGGTTATTAAATGTACTTGATTTTATTCAATACATAATTTTTCATCTATTAAGTATGCCGTTGAATAATGAAATATAACTTTTAATGTGCTTTTTTTCATTTATTGAAACATACTTCATATTTTTCATGACTTCAAAAACAGTCATCATTAAATTATTCACTGTTAACTTCACCCATCAAAGTCATTGGGTGGGAATAGGGCTGCTTCCATAGAGCCACTGATGTCTGATTGGCTGTTTCACACTGAGCAAGATAAGGCAACTTCCATTTTTCTTTTTTCTCCCTAACCCTGTAATGCCAAATGTTCCATATTTGATACATACGGTTTCTGAAATGTTTTGCATCTGACACCTTTTGCATAATTTAATGGTAAAAACTTTGCTCAAAATCCCATTGTACATAATCAGATATACCTGATAACAGAGGGCAGAAGACTACACAAAAATAATCTTGAGTAATAGTAATAGTAATAAATTATTAATATCAAGATGTATTTCTGTTTTTGTCTTTTTATAATTTTGTTAAAAGGCCAAATAAGGACTTCAAACCATAAAAAAGTAATTTTCTGTTTTGTTTTATTCTTGGATCAGGCTTTAAAGGATTAAAGTTTGTATTATCAATGAAAAAGGCGGAAATAACTTCAAAAAGGTTTTGAAATGTATTCACAACACATTAGTTGAAAAACTCCAGCCTCTAGATTCCTAAATTGGTCTCTAAAAGGTTAATAATTAAGCCTGTGTTGGTCAGTGGGAGGGGCTTACATTAATTCTGCAGAAGTCTATGATACTCTTATAAGCTTATTAGAAATATTTCCTGATTTATTTAATGGCACATTTGATTATTTCACATTGCCTATTTTTATTGTACATTTAGTAATTTAGTGATGTAATGTATAAAGGGTACATTTAGTTATTTAAAGATGCATTTAATTATACATTTATTTATTTACTAATTTTACATTTGATTAATTTATATATATCATTTTAAATTGACCCCTATTTATTCAAAACAATATTATTTATTTAATTTTGTCCCTCTTAACCCTCCATATAACCTAGAGCCATCCATTTAAAAATATTTTTAACTTTTAACTTTTTTTTACTTTAAAAAAAAAAAAATCTCAGTATATAAACACATTTTTTAACCTAAGTATCCAACTATGCAACTAGTGTCTAGAAATGTTAACAGTTCATTGGAGAAATAACTCAGATTTGCGTTATTCAGTGTTGATAAAAACTTCTGTTTTTACTTTTTTTTATTATTTTTTTAGGGTTTGCTATGAAAAAAGATGACAGTGAACCTTTTTACATAACAAAATTCAAATCCAATTTCATCAATACCTTTTTGTCTGCAATTAATTTCTAGTATAGTATCTATACATTTCGTTCTAAGGAAACTGTGATGTAATGCTACTACTAATCTTTATGAGATGTTGATATGCTACGCTAAAGTTAGCATGTACCTTTTCTGTATTGATTTTGAATGTTTGGCTCATCAAATTATGTCTTTGAAGTTAAGCTGATACAGATTTGGACATAACTTATATGAACAATTGCTTCAAGAGTTGTTTCACGTCTTATATTTGTTATTTATCCACTGTTCTGGTGAGTCACAAATTGATTGTTGTTTTTCATATCCCAGACTTTTAGAATATCTGTAGGCCTATGAACTAGGAAACATTCATTTACACATACATATTCATTTATTAAGTTATAATCTTATTGAGGTTTGTTAGGGTTTTATATATTATAGATTACTTACAAACAGATAGATGTTTTATTTATGTTAATAAGGATGATTTATCATTTATAGCTAATGACAAAAATTTGCATTATACATCAGAGAAAGAAAATAGGTTTAAATGTAAAATGTGTAAAAAAAGAGTATGTTTTATACCTGCTCATAGGCTTGTTTTTCACATAAGGTATTTTTAATTAGACAGAAGCTCCTCATAAAAATGCATTTTTCTAACTCTTCTTTTTGGAATAAAAAGGTTGTTTTATTGCTATAGAGATGATTAATCTAACTAATCCAGGAAACCTGTGCAGTTTGAAATGAGAGTTCTTGCTCTATTGGAGATGCTGGTTATTGAGGTTGACCTCAAATTGATTTCCTCTATCCTACGCTGACCTGAGAGAGAGTAAAAGTTCATTCTGTCAGTGATGCTCATCTGGTTTATTGGTTAAGTATCTTTATTCCTCATCCTGTCTTGAAAACAATTGAAAAGACTAAGAAGTCCTTGTAAAATTGAATAATTGATAAGCAGGAGCTTGTAATAGACTATGCATGTTTTTGTCAGGAGGTCAGTACGTAAGACCCAGAATTCAGACCAGACAGACAGAGGAATGCTTAAAGGCATTTATTTAGAATACAAGAGAGGGCTTTGGATCCGTAGTTACAGCGGCTACGGAGTCTATGACTAAAGCTCTGTTGGAAAGAAACAAATTAGTGACTAATAATCAGACGGAGGATGATTATGCATGTGCAAGTCACTAACCTGGTTTAACAGTTCAGTCCAGTGTCCAAAGAACTGGGATGGTTCCTACCAGCTGTCTGAACAGAAGCAGCAGGTGCTGTCAAAGAGTCCCAGTCATGGAAGACTACAGAGCTGACAGGAGACCAGAGACAGGCAGGCAAAACTACTGAGATAGGGGCAGGCAGGCTCACAGGTTCAAAGACAAAAACGGGTCAGGATTTGATAAGCAGAACTCTAAGTAAGCTTAAAACTTTCTTTAATAAGGCTCTTAAATAGAAAACCGGAACAGGTTGATCTTTTGAGGAACAGGGCAGAGCTCGACAGGTGAAGGAAATGAGCAAGCCAGCCATCAAGGCCAAAATTATGACAGTTTTTAAAAAAACTGCACTTAACCCTTTATAGGATACTCAGTGAAATACTTTGAAAATCAACATTTCAAGCCAATAGTGTTACTGGAATCCAGGCCAAGACCTTATTACCTTTGTAACTTTGAAATAAAAAAAGGATATTGTGATGACAAAAATCAATGTCAATGTAATAACAAGAAATGTCAGCTTGCCTGAATATATTAAGAAAAATAACAAAAGTGCTTCTATAAGAAATTCATGAAAAACACTGAGAGTGGAAGAAACACATTTTTATTATTATTTTTTTCTTACAAAATAACTTTAGAGGCATTAATGCAGATACTGGCACTTACATGTTTTAATTTATAAACCTAAATATAATTGTTAACTAGGCTTATTAACTTTTTAACTTTACTTTTTGACTTTTCAATGCGCTTTTTACCTATTTTTCTTGACTTCACTTTTTTTTCAACTTAATTTGCAGTAGGTAATATATCATTCAAGGGCTCATCTAATTGGTCAAATGCCAAAATAAGATGTACAGTCATGTAGCAGGATCTTTGCTGAATGGCTGGATATAGATCTTGTGCTTCTAGACCTAACTGAGGGACAGCAGCCATTCCATTTGTAAGGGGGATGCAATTGATCAAAAACAGTAACTTGCCCTATAAAGGGTTAAAAGGTCATTTTAAACCTGAACAAGTCAAGTAACTTTATGTCATGTTAGTTCATTATACACAATTCTTTAAGCAGTTTACTTCAGCTAAGTCACTGAATTTAAAACAATTGTTTAACGTAAAGAATAACTGAAATGGTTTGAAGGAAAACCTGAACTGTCACATTCATTAGCTGGCCTTTTTATGTCTAATATTATTCTTGCCCACATTTGTTTTGCAGGAGAGCTGTACATCGGTGGTGTGACGAAAAACATGTACAGCAATCTGCCCAAACTTATTGCATCCCGGGACGGGTACCAGGGCTGTCTGGCCTCTGTGGACCTGAATGGGAGACTCCCTGACCTGATCGCAGATGCCCTCCACAAGGTGGGGCAGGTGGAACGAGGCTGCGATGGTAAGAGAATGTTCCTTTTCTCCCATTCTTACACCCATCTGTTGTCTATACCACTGTATCTACCCAGTCTGGCAAAGGAGCTACTGCCGCTCTTTATCCGTTACTGATAGCTGTCAATGGGCGAGAGGCAGGGTACACCCTGGACAGGTCGCAAGTCCATTGCAGGGCTAGCCTCGTGAGACCATCCTGATCTCGGGATCTTTCAAGATCTCACTCGCTAATCAGTCTGGAGACTCTCCGTTGAAGAAAATCTGGAGCCGTTCACCAAACGAACGTCCAATCAGCGTTGGCTCTGAGGCGGGTTGAGGTGTGACGCAAGAGAAGCTTGACAGTTCAGTCTCAAGAACATGGCGGCTTCAGCCAATGAAACTAGCGTTAGCATTGCTATCGAGCAAGTTTTATTGGAATTACAGAGTATTTCTTCACTGAAAGAAGAGCAAAACACTGCTCTGGAGGCTTTTCTCAGAGGAAAAGATGTTTTTGCTCTTCTCCCGACTGGTTTCGGCAAGAGTTTGATCTATCAATTGGCTCCTCTTCGTCGTCGCTCTGTTAGTACGTCATATGCTTCGATGATCTGATTGGTTTATTTGGGCCGTCTATCACCAAATTAGGCCAAGTAGCTAACCAGTATTTTCTCCCCTACCCAAAATTACTTCAACGGAAGGTTTCCATCTGGCCGAGTCAGGTTATCGCAGGGCAACACCGAGACAAACAGGACATACAACCATTCACTCACACCTAAGGAGGATTTAGAGAAGCCAATTTAATAAGTACATTTTCTGGTCATTTTTTTCTTCAGCCTACACTCATTTACAGAAAACTGATGTTAATTTTTTGTAAGAAGCATGTGCGGTTGTAGGCAGGAGTCAACTTGGGTCATGGCTCCTGTACTGTAACTCCTGCACTACAAAAACAATTTTTTAAATCAGTGCCTTTGCTTTTGAATTCAAACAAGTACAGTAAATAAGATGACCTACCTGTAAAATACATATTTTATCCCTTTAAATAAGATGATTAGATATTTTTAAACTTGAAATAAGATGATGGAGTAAATTTTGTCCATAATTTTATTCTATTGGCAAATTGTCTTACTAACCTGCTCAAGAAAATCCTTTTGTTTTCCTTTTTGTGTGCATTCTTTATATCAGGCATCCCCAAACTCGGTCCTCAAGGCCCCCTGTCCTACAGGTTTTAGAGGTTTCTCTGCTTCAGCACAGCTGGTTATAATGTTTGCAGTAGACCAAAAGCCTGTTAATCAGCTTTCAATTAAAATCAGCTGTGCTGGAGCAAGGAAACCTCTAAAACCTGCAGAACAGGGGGCCTTGAGGACCGAGTTTGGAGATGCCTGTTTTATATGAATCAATAAATAAGAAATAAGCAAATAAATAAATAAGTTTTGTTGATTGACATTATTACAAAAGATAACACTCATTCTACTACTGTAAATAGTTTATTTTTCGCCATATTGGAGTAATCACACACATTAGTTCAACAAAGGTACCTGTAAAGGGGATAAAGGCTTTTAAAAGCATTTTCTATAATCGCTTAAGGTTTGATGCAGCTTTATAACAACATATATTTGAAAGGCTTTGCCATTCTTTAGTCTCTCTCCTTTTATATCACTGTAGTTGTTCCATAAACCTTACATAAGGCGACCATTTTCCACTTTATGTTGTTGACAGCGTGGTTAATCTCAGCAACACCCCACTTTTGTTGCTTTTATGCTTTCTTGGTCTTGTCTTTGTCCCATGTCTAACGCTGCCATGCTTTGGTTGCTGCAAGTCTCAGGCTAAATGGCTGTGGTGTCGGTTAATCCTGGGTATAACAGTCCTTTTGGCTGTAGCAGTGTCCCCTTTTATACAAAATACCCTAAGCCTCGGTCCAGACAGAGCTCAGGAGAACCCTGGTTTAATTTCCCTGTGGGGCACACTGGCCGAAGCGGCACTGACTAAAGCTTTTTGTTCTTTTTCTACCTCCTGCTCATAAATGCTACTGTTTCTGCCAGCCAGCCTGTATTAACTGCCCATCCTAACAACCCACTGCTTTGCCTCAAACAGTTTAAAATTGCATTAAGTTATCTCTCAGTTTCCTGCAGGCTTACACATTGGTTGATAATGATCAGACTCCCACGAAAACAAGCTCTGATAACTGAGAAGATTTTTGGAGGTTATGTTTTTCGTCTTTTTTTTTTACTAATACAACAACAAGTAACCCCAAGACTGTTAGAAATGTAATCATCCCTCCATTAATATTATATGAATACACTGGATTAAGCATTCTTATGATATTAGAAACAATTATAGGAACAATTCCCTTAGGTTTACTCTTAGCAAAACATAGCATATACCTTAAGTTCTTTTTGTAAGGTTTATGTAAGTAGAAGTACAAGTATAGCAAGCGTTTTACTGATCATGTACTTGTAGGGTACTTGAAAGTATATTCATTATATATTTCTGTAGACTTAACTGGGGCACTTTTATGTTTACAAAAGTGTTCTTTAATATACAGCTACACTGGAAAAAATAAAAATCTAGATAAGTCATTTTTTTCTTAAAATAGGTGCATTTGTTTTTTAATTGAGTAGGTAAAAGAGACATTTTGCCAATGGAACAAGACAATTTACACTTAAAATAAGAAAACCCAATTGCATTGTCTTATTTCAAGTGCATATTATCTAATTATCTTATTTCAAGAGTGAAAATACTCATTCCACTGGCAAACTATCTCATTTACCTACTCAAATTAAGGGTGAATACACTTAATTTAAGAAATGTTTACTTATTTCTAGATATTTTTTGCAGTGTACAGCTACACTGGAAAAAATAAAAGTCTAGGTAAGTAATTTTTTCTTAAAATAGGTGCATTTGTTTTTTAATTGAGGCAGTAAAAGAGACATTTTGCCAATGGAACAAGACAATTTACATTTAAAATAAGAAAACATAATCGCATTGTGTTATTTCAAGTGCATTTTTATCTAATTATCTTGTTTTAAGAGTAAAAATACAAATTCTATTGGCAGACCATCTTATTTACCTACTCAAAATAAGGGTAAATACACTTAATTTATGAAATTTTTACTTATGTCTAGATCGTTTTTCCAGTGTAAACAGTCAAATCCAACATTTAACCCATAAAGTGTTGGGCAGTGTTGGCCTAGTGGGTTAGAGCAGTGCACTTGCGCTTGGTTCGATCCCCACAGCTGGCACTCTGGGTCTCTGAGCAAGACCCTTAACCCCACTCTGCTCCCTGGGAGCCACACAATGGCAGCCCACTGCCCCCCAAGGGGATTGGTTAAATGCAGAGAGTGAATTTCCCCATTGTGGCACAATAAATGGATTTTGCTTTTTTTTTTTCTTACATAAACCCAAAAGAATGATGGGTGGGTCTTTGGTTTGCATCAGACTTGGAAAGTGCTTCGGAAATGGACTTCCATGTGGCTTAAAACATCTAAGCTTGAACTACTGACTGCTATTGCTAACTGAATTAAAAAAGACTCCTGAATAGGTGTCTAAATGTCCTCTAAAAAATACTTAGCGAAAGTCAGATGGCCTGCGATATAAGCCTGTTTTGTGCTAGCATGACCCAAATGAAAAGACAAAGTGAGACACTAATATAATATTCTTTAGTTTATATAAAAAAAAGGTTATATAAAAGGATAAAAACTTCAGGTAAACTGCCTTTTTTAGTAAGTACACCATACTATACTTAAATAAACTGCTTTTTGCTAAGGATATTTTTACTTATAGCTCCTTTAACTGAAGGAACTGTTGCTAAATGTGACTGCCATTTCAGATTCCCTTTGAGAAAGGTCAAAAAGCGGCTATTGTATCCAGGGTTTATCTTTTTCCCTCCAGACTCAACATTTTACTGCAACTAAGGACAAAAAGAAAAAGATACTAACATGAGGCTCGCAGACTATACCTCAAGAGAGAAAAACAAAATGAAAAAGTGCACATATGAGCTCAGACTTAAAGGGATTGGAAACCTACACGGAAACATAAGCATTTGTATCAGTGCCAAAAGCTGAGACAAAATCGAATTCTTGGATTTAATAAGATCTTTTTTTTTTTTTTTTTTTAGATTCTTTTATTGTTAGACATAAACCAATTTTTGGACTGGATGCACAGTTTATGCATAAGCAGATGCTTTGTTTATAAGCAAGCTGCTGGTGGGGTTCAGAGCTGACTGCAGAAAGGGAACCAAGATGTGTTTACTTAGGTTTTATAGCCATATTAAGCTTGTAACTCTTAATACGGTGGGATCTTCTCAAACATTTGGTTCAAGTGACAGTTGGAAATTCACACTCCAACAAATTAAATCATTAAGGATCTTAGGTAAAACTTATATTTGGTTGGCAAGATTAAAGACGAAGGAGTAATTACGCAATGTTATATCGACCGTGAGGAGATCTGAATATTCATCAAGCCAAAAGAGTAACATCTGTGTTGAAAAAAAACCCTCCTACGCTGCAAAAAGATCTATAAATAAGTCAACATTTCTTAAATTAAGTTTATTTACCCTTAACTTTATCAGGTAAATAAGATGATACGCCAATGGAATGGGTATTTTACTCTTTAAATGAGATGATTAGATGATATGCACTTAAAATAATATATTGCAATAAATGTTTTCTTATTTTAAATGTAAATTGTCTTGTTCCATTGGCAAAGTTTCTGGCTTATTTTGAGTAAATGATGACTTATTTAGATTTCAATTGTTTGCAGTGTATTGTTGCTTGTCTATTTATTTACTTTTTAACATTAAGTGTGGGTCTTTCTTTAACTAGGTAATTTGTTAATGGCACAACGTAGAGGCTGTTTATCTGTGCATAAACAAATTAGTGTGGAACTGAACCATAGTTCTTTGTAAATCTCTGGTTAATTGAGGCTATAATGAGAGGCCCCACTGCCATCGACACACAAGCCTCTGCACACTTATTTAAAAATAATTATCCCACCTAAGACTTCATCTGCATCCTAATCAGACATCCATCGATCAGCATTTTCACTGTTCATTTCCAACAATCAACTCCCTCTGAGTTGTACTAATGTTTAAAAATAAACCTTGAAGAACTAAAATATAAGGAGAATAAAAAAAAGAAAAAAGAAAATCAGAGAAAACAGCAAAGTTACACTCAAAGTTTTCTTGGATTAAGACTTTTTCCCAAAGTGTATTTCTTGATTGCATTTTTAGTTTTTTTTTATATTCATTTCCAAAACCTGTTTTTTTCTTGTAAAAATGATGGACCGAAATTCACTCCATACATGTAAAGCAATACGGTATATTAAGTAGGTGTCTATTGGGTGTGCAGCCAACCTTTGTTGTGGAAAAAGTAAATTAAGCCAATGCATAAAAATTCACTGGTTTCTGCTAGAGCATTGCATAACAGTTTATATATATATATATATATATATATATATATATATATATATATATATATATATATATATATATATATAAATATCTAAAAAGCAATGCCTGGCTTTTTGATTTGATACAGGGGTAAAAACCCCACAGAAAATCTGTTACTTCATTGAGAGCTGATGATTAATTCATAAAAGCAAACTTCAGATTAGGCTGGTTTGACTGATTCTGTGTCTTATGTTTTGGTTTTTGAAGTTTCTGCAAACAGGTGTATCTGAAAATATCAGATCAAGGGTCTAAAAAATTTCTTTTTTTTCTCTCTGGGATCTCCAGATTGGTAAAGCTACTAAACAAACATCCCCTTGCTTGACTTTGAAGGGCTGAAGATGGGGATTTATAACCTGTTGAGTCATGAGTTTTCTTACAAATTTTATCCTAAAAATCAAAAGAAATCAGGAAAACCTCAATTTTTATCAGGTCTTTATGATTCAATTCAATTTCAATTCAATTCAGTTTATTTATATAGCGCCAAATTCACAACACTTCATCTCAAGCACTTTACAGTTCAACCAGATCATACAGTCAGATTGATACAAAGTTTTCTATCTAAGGAAAACCAGTTGATTGCATTGACTCATTGACTCAAATACAACCCCTCACACTAAGCATGCTTGTAGCGACAG